ATAGATATTTTACTGTGGTTTAGTGGTCATCTTCTATATGTTTATATGTATATATAATATTTCACTACCATTATCATCTACCTTTACATGCAGGTCTTCTTTCGTTCTACCTATTGTATAAAGGACCTTACTACAAGATAAAGGGTTTTTTTTTATTGTAATTAGAATAACAAACAAACTGACAACCCACCTGTTGATATCCATGAATGGTAACCATCACCTATGTGATGCTCGTGGTACTAATCAAGATGATCAAGATCCAACCTCCTAACCCTGTAATTTTACTACCCTGTCTCTTCAATTGAAACACATCTTACAAAGCAAACTGCTTGACGGCTGCAATTTGCGAGACCGAGGATGCTGCAGCTTAAAGGATCTTGTTTGTACAGTACATCAGGACAAAATATATTTTCTAAATTTGACTCTGTCTTTATATAAGTGTAGAATTTAAAAAATTACGGAATCTCACGGGAAGGATATATTTTCTAGCCAGATAAATTTATTACAAGCATTGTCAATTCTCATCTATGTATTTACAGTTGTGTATTTGAAGTTATTAGTTTATTCATTCTCCATTACATACCAGTCATTAAAACTAAAGATTTATCTAGACAATGCCCAACTATTTGCGACCCCATTAGGTATTAGAAAGGAGATTGCGAAAGAAACATGATAAATGGTTATTTGTTACGTTCTAAGTATGACTAACTTGGTTTATTCTTGCAAAACATCGCCCTCGGAATGTCTTCAGATAAATAAATCAATTGTTTAACGCAAATACATCTCATTTATATGTCATAACATCCAAATTTCTACGTAGGTTGTCTACGAATTTCAAACGATATAACTAAATAACTGCCAGATTTATTCGTTGTCCAGTCTTCGAATGGATTTTAACAAACATATACCTACATATATACCATTTATTTTATGGCATAATTCATTAGGTATTGTCACCTCAGAAAAATACAAGTGCATGTATTTTCTTGTGTTCAAGATGTAACTTATAAAGGTATTAGGTATATTAATTTTTAAATTTTCGCGTTTATTTACCATAAAATTATTCGTGAAATATAAAAACATATTACGACGATCCCAAATAAATGGGATAAGAAAGAAGCAGATGACGAATATTATTCGTGTTAAAACTGTTTAACTATATAGATCTACTTTATTAACATAAGTATATTAATAATATATATGCTGTTTTTATAGAACTAGATGGTATCTGTTCAATATACTGGGATTTACACAGATAATATGCTAAATAATTAAATTATTTAATTCTCTTGCTATAGTCCTGAAGCATTTAAGGGGTTCAAGATATATGCTCAAAACAGTAGGATGCGGTGATAGCGATTTTCATATACAAATCTCGCTTTACCACTGTTACCGTAGCGAGAAATGGTTTAATTATATTAGTGACTATAAATAGAAAAAATATGTATAATATAAGGCAAGATTTCACATACATTCGTACTTTATTCCCGTTCTCACCGAACAACCGCCCACTGTATCAAAATCACATTTTTAACTTTAATTAACGTACTTAACATATTCTGTGGTAATTAATTTGACAGCATAATTAAGAAGTAATGGTCTAAGATGTTATCTGTTCATTGTTTAACACAAGTGAAGCTTAATAAGTAATTAATTAAAACAAATTTTATAAGATTTAGATTTGTGTTAGTTATCGTAATAGCGGTAGTGTTCATATTTACACAGGTTAGTGGATTCGTTTACTTTATTTGTATTATGTAATGTGTTATTTTATACTTGTAGTGTTTTATTTTTGTAAAGTTTCTGAGCGAAATAAGCAAATGGTTCGTTCATACGTCAAAAATTGACAATACTCAATAGATTACCCCCTTTGAGATAGCAGTTATTAAACCAACATTGTGCTAAAAATATTAAAAACAAACATAAATATCAGAAATTGGACCTCGTATGGACATTTAATGTACTAAAAAATTTAACCTAGGCTGAATACGGATTGTCAGTTTAAATTTCATGTGTTTGTTACAGTATGTGTATTATTTTCCTTATATACGTCCTATTCTATATTATATTTTATTAAACAAAATTAGGTACATATATGCAATATATTTCAATTATGATATTATATCTCTTTCGGTATCTCTCTCCTGGGGAAACAGCTCGATTTGATGTCCTATATTTGAGTGTAAGCTATGCGACATAATTCATCAAAATCAATATTCAGTTTACTAAATATATCGTAATATATCCTCCTACTTTTTAAATCGGTATAAAAAAGGAATTTAAAGTATATTCATATTTTTATATGGAGACAATACCATCTTTCGGGTTGTGTTACCAGGAATCAAACCCGGAACTTCATTAAAGCGAAATAACCTCAACTACTGCGATGCGGCAGCTATTATAAATACATTATTTTATCGATGTACCATGAATTATGAGACTGTACTTGTCTAAGGTTTTATTATCATAATAAATTTCAGGATTAATAATACACAATAATAATAAAACGAATGGGTATAATAATTATAGTTTTTTTTTATTTTACTACAAATGACCATCAGTCCGACACTTCACATGATGGCAAATATGACGATCGGCATTAAAACTACACGTTATTTTTTTAATGTCTCATTCATTCATTCATAATTTAAGAGCCATGCTCTTGTGAGTGGAGCTCTCAATCTTTTTAATGTAGCATAGCATAAATAACAGAGTAGGTACCCACAACATTTTTTTTATACTACGATGGTGGTAAACAAGCATACGGCGTTTCTGATGGTGAACGGTTACCGTAGGCCATGGACGCCTGAAACACTAGGGGTGTCACATGCGCGTTGCCGACCCTAAAGAAACCTTAATATACCCTTCTTGAATACATCTTAGCATGAGACCCCTCATTCAATGTGGACGTCATTTGATGAGGTGGTGAACAGGCAGTTTATGGTTATAAGCACTTTGCTGCCACATTGCCACTCACCATCAGGCTAGTCGTCAGCTAGTTATTTCAGTTACATAATAAAAAAAGCAAAACCGCCTATTACCTTCACCGGATAGCGGCGAGTGCAGATGGAACTCCAAATCATCTGATGGACTTATGGCGCGGATGAAGGCCAACTCCTGCCTAATGGATGAGACTTTAGTCTGAGGGCACCACTAGGGGTTCGAACCTCGATTCAGGCCACCATAAATTCCATCCCCTTTTGAATTGACCGAGGGAGTGATCGGAGTGCAAGTAAACGACTTTGTAGACAGTGACCCATCTGTGCCACCCTCATACTACGTTACTCCTAAAGATTTTTATATTCCACAGATGTTAGCAATATTAATTACTTAAAGATATTATATAGACTTATGTGTTAGATCTACGCCGCAATTTGATACAGTCAATAAAGTATTACTTTTGTATCCATCATTGATAGCTTTCATCCAGGAAATAACTATACATAAGTTACAACGTATTAACGGGGCGAAATAACTGATTTATTTATTATATTAAAGAAACTCTATCATAAAAAATATTATATCATCGCAAAATTGAACGGGATCCTACATTATTTTATACTAATAAAATAAGCATTGTTGTATAGTAATAAAATTTAATAATAGTAATAGTGTTAAATATGGCATTGTAAATAAGTTGCATCCCATGACTTTGCTCCTGTAAATTAATACCTATACTTATTTACACGACTCTCCCAATATTTTCGTTAGTCAACTATATCGGTATTTTAAATTTAATAACAGTGTTTAGGTTAATAGATGAAGCATGTAGGTATTCTGTTTCCGTCATTGAGTTTTGATATTTCATGGCGTATAATAACTAACAATATTGGGGCACTTGATACGAAACGACAAACTAATTAATAACATTATCGAATGAAAAATAGATGGAAAGAGAGGAATAGGAAGACCAAGACACAGCTATATCATCCAAGTTCAAGAAAAAGTTGGAGTCGTGTCATATAAAGATTGATAGAAGATCGTGGAAGGTGGCGTGATCTCCATCGACAAGCTCCATTTCACCGATAGATAAGTCGATATATTCTTTATGCGATTTACTCGGAAAAACTGCGCTTATTTGATAATTCTTTTCCCAATTACATAGTAGGTCTGCTCCCATACTAGCAATTTAAGTCGATTGTTATTGTAAAAAACAAAATATTAAATATTATGTTATAAATAATATTGGTCATTATAAGATATATGAACTATGTAGATATAGTTATAAAATATTTTGACTTTTTTATGGATTATAATGGAATGATGCATGCACCTGCGCTATCGGTTTAAGCTGGCGGGGGGGCAATAGTGGAGGACGATGAGCATAAAGTCGAGTCTGTTAGCCTCTTGGCAAATGGCAATTTACCACGATAGTATCCAGAGGAATCGGCGTGGAGTTCAACTGACATGGTATTTATTGTACGTTGCTAGCAATGGAGTGCTTCCTTCCTTGGTTCTTAGTGTTCTTACTGACTATATTACTTTACTTTGAAATGATTAAGCTAAAATGTATTAAGCTAAAATAATATTAGAAATATGAAGTTGTCTGTGTTTCTTATTTCAAGACAACTGAATAAATCTTAACGAAATTCGATATGAAGATAGATTGTTTCAAGAGAACAGACATAGGCTATCTATAACAAAAAACAAACGATTTCGCCGGCATCAACAAGTGAGAGTTGGATATTGAACAACCCACCCTTAAATATCATTTTTATTATAAAATCTAATAACAATCTATAATCTCATAAAACCAGTGCCACGGTGAACTTTTTATTCCATCTCTATACTAACATTCTAAAGTAATATCATTAACATAAAAGCATACATTTTATCAATATTTGTACATTAAAATTGATTTGATCGGATATTGGAGTAATATAAAACTTGGTATATTCCCACAAGTGACTCCGCAGTGGGTAATAAACTTGTAAACATAATAATAAAGACACCAGCACGACAGACATAAAACAAAATAATAATAAAAAAATGCTACAAACCTTCCATAAAAATTCCAAACGTAATTTATATCAAAAGTTTCATATTATTCCACTGCATGTAAGCACTGTCACAAACACTTTATAAAAAGTACAAAATAGTTTCATAAAATATAATTTAATATTACTATAACACTTTTACCAGCGTCCGTTTAGTAATAAAAAATAAATCACAAAAAACCCTCGTAAAAATTAGTCAATAATATTTAAATCACATTACAGCTTTTATTTTAAAAAGACGTCTATATCCTTATGCATCCAGCGCAAGACTGCCGACTAAACTACAATGCACACTTGAATAAGAGTCACAGCCGTCTCTTTTTAACACTCGTAGCGACAAGTGAGTGAGCAGAACGGATATAATGGCATGCATTATGGTATCGCGTCTCGGTGTACTTTTTTCCGATTTCTTTGAAGGATCTATATATGATCTATAGATCTTTACAGCGCGTGAGTTATGCCTCCATCCACGCAGTGATTCATTGATACGCTGCCATTCCGTTCACTATAAAATTATAGTATTTGATTTTTTAACTATTATGGCTGGACGGCTGTTTAAAATTATGGTAAACAAGTTGTAACTGATATTTGATCAGTGTACAGAATCTCAGGTAGACTATAAAATACGAATTTAGAAATACAGTTTTTCATTAACGATCATTTTATTATATGCAGTAAACGTGAATACGATAATGAAGTGCTATTTTTGAAAAAAAATATTTTATAGCGATTGCTAAAAATCAAAATATAAGTATACTTTCAACTTTTTTATGAAAATAAATTTGTACACAAAATATTGAAGATTTTATGTCATGCAAAAAATATTCTGTGCAAAAAAAAATATTTACCTAAGTCCACCTATCTTGCCTTATCGAAATTTTGCCCATATAGGCTTACTTCCTGTCACACTTCGACCCGTTGGAATGTTTTGTGTTTTCCTCTACTCCACCATATTTAATATTTTACTTATTAGCCTTTTAGTGTCATGCACTTTGAGACATCTGTAGGTATGTATAGTTTTATAGTCGAGTAAACATCAAGTGTACAAGAAATAAAAAAGAAAAACAAACGTAGTTTTAATGACATAATTAGGTTTCGGCTAAAGTACTAGATAGAAGGTAATAAAGGTGTATGAGAGAAAGATAGTGAAATATGAACATGTTTATTTTAAATATAAGTTAATGTTACTCTAAAATAATATTTTAAATATAGATAAACTGTATACGTATGCTACAGTGAGAACAGACATAGATATTTTATATGTTCTCACTGTACATACAAAAAAGGTGTTTCTGTAATTTCTGAACTACGAGCAAAATTTACACAGAAAGCTTGAAGGTACACACATATCGCGTTACTCAGTAAATTTCAGTCTGTTGAAGTCTTGTTTTCCATAGACACCCTTCTCCATCAATGGCCTTCCAACCATATCATCAGAAAAGCACATTATTGAGACTAATATTATAATTTGAAATACATAAACATATAATATACATAAAAGTAATAACATAGATAGTGCCTTAATTGTTTTTTATTTCAATTTAAACAAAAATCGAAGCTTCTATAATAATTGCACTATTGTGAATCTAGATAGTCTTACGAGAAATAATGTAATTTCAAACGATTTGCAAAGAATATATCATTTGATCAGATATCAGTTAGTGTTTAAAAAATAGATTACGTGCGAATGTATACAAACTATAACAAACCTGCTTTGTTACACAAACATTAGGTGTGCCAAAAATAGTAGACTTATCACGGACAACTTCACTGGAAAAAATTGATTTTAATATTTTATATCACTTCTACAATTAGACGAAGTTAACGATGCCATGTTTATGACTGTAAAAAATACAAAATTGACAAACAAGTTGACGGCCCGCCTGATAGAAAGTGCTAACCGTCGCCTATAAACATGAAAAACTAAGAATATCTTCCAGTGAATTATAGTATGACGCCCATGACACCCTTCAAGGGTTGCCACTTTTCTTACATTTCTCAAAAACGTACTGACTATTTTGCTCAAAGCGAAATTAAAATAGCGTAACTGTGTGTGTGTGTTAATTCATAATAGGTATAGTCCGTATAGTCCATATATATTCATGATAAAAAGCTGGAAAAAATTACATATCTAATGGATCTGATTTAGTTTTACATAAAATATTTGCTAGAAAAATTTTAGAGGACTTTATGAATCACTTTGTTGATTTTATATATATTAATATACAGCCTAAATGTGTTACTTCCTATTACTATTATGTACTTTGAATCTTGAAATGTAGATACATTTCAAAGGAAAGCCGAAAAAGCAACCTACAATTCAGGAACCCATTTAAATATAGACTCGAAATTATGTCTAAATAGGTCCAGCCATTTAGGAGAATTACGTGACAATAAACGTATGTAAGATTTAAATATATTAAGATAGCAAACAAAGTAATTGAATGAAGTTATTATTTAGGTAGGATGAAATAAACAACCTCACAGAACTATGAAACTACTACAGGGCTATATGCCCATACTACATCTCTGGAATTTTCAATTTGTGACTAAGTCAAAGTTATTCTTAATTCCCACGTACGAAACTACTTCTTACCATGTGACTGTAAATTTAGGTTATCATAAGACCCCGAGAGAGACCCACATACGTTGTATTCTGTTTATACACATCAGTTCACTGGTCGATCGGTTTTTTCTATATGTTTATATAAGAAATAATTTCCGCCGTGCCGTCTCGCCTCAAGTGTTGTTACTGGACTGTGGGTACGCAGCTAGATTTGAACAGTCACGGTGAAAAGTGTTGAATTTTTAAATACAAATAACTAAGATTGTAATCCCAAACGAGGTAGTCAGCAGCATTCATGCTTAGAGAGTTAGCAATCGAAAAGTCTCTCTTAGGAATTGATCTCGATACTAAAATCTTAATAATATTAAAATTGCGTGTCGCCTGTATAGGATATCGATCGGTTTAAATTGACATGTAATGTAAGTCCACTATAATACGTAAGTGGTAACCATCACCTGTATACATGAACTGCACTGCGGATATGACAACAAGTGACACCCGTGACACCCCTCAGGCGTCGCCATCCTGGAGGACTAAGATGTCATGCCTTATCACCTGTAATTTACCCTTATCTCACTCTTCAGTCGAATCGAAACACTGCTTACAAAGCAAACTGTTTAGTACCTGAAATAGGTATGGGGTCATCTGTGTGGATACGCAAATGACCTTTTACTAAGTGTAAGTCGGTACCCTAAAGTTTTTTAAATTGTTAGTATAAATATATATTTGTAATATTCCTGCATCTTATTATTACTATACACGCAAATTTAGTGAGCATAACTCACTGAAAAGATTTTCATTAAACAGTGACGTGTTTCATTAAAATGCCATAAAAATCATTAATAACACAAAGTCAACGACCGCGTACAATACAGATGGCTTGATTTGTTTTATTTATTTTGCAAGTCTAATTATATCAATGAATTGGGAATGCACAATAATGATTGATGAGTAAGGGCGTACGCACACGATGTGTGTTTTTAAAATTACTTACACTGTAGCATAATAAAAACTTGAACATTTTCACAAAATTAATTAAAATATTTAAGATAAAGAGCGTATTTAGCTGATAGTGGAGTTAAGCAAAATAGAATTTAGAATTTGTTGACTCGTTTTGACACAACAGTACTGACATTAAAAAAATACAAACAAAGTAAACATATGTCATATTAAAAATATTTACTAAAAATATAAACAAAAGGGACTAAACCTACTACCTAAATAGAACATTATGTAGGTAGTAGGAGTAATTCCTTTTTTTATCTCCCATAATATTGTTGGATTGTACTAAAACAATTTGTATTGCACTCGGCTGCATTTGCTTTTTAAAACTGATAATAGATTAAAAAACTACGTCTAAAATTCAAAAGTGCTTAAAAATAAAGTCCTAGTTCAAGCGATTGCATTTGGATTAAAACTAATATCAGACAAACACGGTAGTAAAATTTATCGATTAATAATTTTCATTAAAATCAGTGCATAATTGGTTACATATATCGCTTAAATATTGACCACATAAAATAGTAGAATTTTCGTACATAATTTTTTATTATTACTGATTAATAAATATGAAGCTAGTACAATCTATAGAGGCACTATAATCCTCAAAAATGGTAAAGCGTGAGGGGTACCCACCATATATTCAAAACATATTCTGTGCGGTCTATGGTCTTATTTGTGTTTATAGGCGACGTTTACAACTTTTTGTCAGTGAGGCCATAGCTTGTTTGCTATTTATTGGCAGTAAAATAAAATAATATATTCACAACAACGGTAACTTACTACAAAATATGTGAAACTTATAAAAGTACGATGCAAGACGTTAATTGTCACGGGAAAGGATATAAGCCGTAGGCACTCAATACTCTTTGTATATCCCATAAGCCATATATTCTATAACATGGCATAAAAGTTATATATACTAGCTGTTACGTGCAACTTCGTGTGCTTCTTTTAGATTAAAGATAGCCTATATCAGTCCTATACAACTAGTCTTCAAGTCTTTCTTTAAGTTCAACCTATTTATAGTACCTAGTTGTAACAAGGTAATATGGACTCACTGTACGAAGTGTTTGTCTCCATGTTTGCAATAGTATGAGTGTAATATTCGTATTATTGCGAACATGATATTAATCGTTTATAGTAGTGGTCTAAAAAATTGTACATTTTGGTAGATTATTGATTTTTATGGAATGAAATAAACACTTTAATTTTATTTAAAATTCATTTGTAATTCGATTCACGCCGTGCTGAGAAGTGCTCAGAAATCCATCATATCCACAACAATGTTAATTTGACAACGCTCGTCCGCCGCGAGTATGACTCCAGTCTTATTTCCTGTAAAAATTCTGAATATTACCTGCTGTTTTATTAATAATTATGAGCCTCCAGAGGGATTTGAATATTTCCTGGTACTGAACTTTCTTATATGTTATATAAGTTTAGAATTAATACCGAAAAAATCATTTGGTAGTCGCCTAAGACTGCCATCATATATTGAGACCTTACATTTGAAAAAAACTTTTTACAATACATTTATCAATTATTTATTTATTTTTACTTCGTAATACACTCTATCATAATATCAAGTTTAATTATGATTAATTTAGCCGTTTAGTCATAAAAATATTTGTGTTCATCTGTCACCCAGTTTTATTGCTCAAACTGGGTGACAGATGAACACAATT